ACTTTCTTCCATACGCTACTGTCCTCTACACACTACTTTCTTCCATAAGCTAGTGTTTCATATAAAAGTCATCGTGAAATAAATAACTTGTTAAGACTAAAAACCCTAAACAAGTTTTTTTTTCTTCGATCGAGCAAAATAATAATTATCACAGTGGGCATAATAAATCCAGGTGTTGAACTTAGGTTGAATACCTCTCCAATAACATCTAAACTCACAAACTTCACTGTCACATCCATCTACTGTCCTTTATTTGCTGTGCTTCAACAATAGTGATAGACCATTCGATCAGGCCGATTAATGACATTTTTGAGATGATCAGCCGGCGCTCATAAGGCTGATAAACAAAAAGTGTCAAGTGTGTATTGATTAAACTCAACTCACAGACATGCAAGATTCTTTATCTGCATGTTTCACATATTGGACTATAATGGCACAACATCTTTTATCCCAATATATGATATTGCATATTTTTACACGTTTTCTGGTAATTCAGTAAATACATATTCTATATGAAACAACCAAATTGTAAAGCCTATTTTTGTATAAAGAGTAGTTTTAATAAATAACTTCAGTGCAAAATGAACATACAAGTTTCAGGTGAAATTATGGAGAAAAAATAAATATATATACAGTATATATTTCCAGCTATACACTATGTTTACATGTATGCATATTAATCAGATTGAGAAAATCGTGTGATTAAGCCAGAACTTAGTTTAAAGCAAATAATGAGCGCTCCTCTGACCAACAGACACCGCCTCCATCTCCAAACTGCAGGATTACTGACTCAACGATGGCCAGTTCATCGGAGCTCTTCTTAAAATGTGTGGTGCCTGAGAACGCACCTCTGGCTGTGGTAGAATGGCACAGTCTAATTATCCAGACACATTCAGGCAGGTGTGATGCAGCAGCTCAGTCATTTGACAGAAGGATGGAACTTGACACAGGAATTTGGCCTCTTCCTGTTTCTTTAAGAAATACAGCTGTTTATGAGCTTTCTTCACCAGGAGGAGATGTGAGAGGACCATGTCAGGATCTCTGTTCTCTTTATGGGCTTTTGTGAAACAGGCCAGAAGGTATGGTGCTTGTCAGCAATAATGATCACACACTTAAGTGACATAACACTTGCTAAGACAACACTGTGTTGCATCACAGTGTTTGCTTTATGTTTCCACAAGGTTCAATGTTTATAAGGCAGAAGCAGGTTTTAGCCTGTGTCATTTATCTTTTAAAAGGTCAAAAAATCGACTTATAGGCAACTTGATGGTCAGAATTAAACCTGGAGGAGTCACGACTCTGTAGTAATAATGAAAATTGTCCCAGCCTCAATGAATGGACCATCCCTTTAAAAATGTTTCCATAATGCATTTTATTTCACTTCAGAGGTAAGAACTCTCCTGACTCTGCATCCATGTAACAATAGAATCTATAAATATCTTCAGATGATCCTCTCCTATGCATTTCAAAGCTCATGTTAATTCTATTTGTATATTGCATATACACCACAGTAAAGCATACTGAGACGCAAAGACATGAATGAGATTCATTCATTTCTTTGCATCTCAGTATGCTTTACAAACCTTTACAAAGTTTTTTTTATGAACTTTATTTCAGACACTGGTCACAATCATAAGAATCTGCACTGTGCATCCCATCAGAGCCTTGGTGCATAGAAATACAATGTTCCATCCATTTCTCACAAACAAGTTCAGAAGTTAAACCCTCTCTCTCTCTCAGGCACTCAAGTCTTTGCAGGGTGGAGCTGTGTGGAGGCAGAGCGCGGTCAGCCCTGGAAGGCGTGGAGCTCCTCCTTACTGAAGCCCTGCTGCTTCAGCAACCTGACAGACGAACAAAAGGGAGAGGAGGACAAGACACTGAGAACAAGAGAACGGAGTACCACTGCATCTGAGGTCTATGGTGCTCTGAGGAGCTGAGGCTACTGAGAAACGTAGTACATAGAAGGTAGATATGTGATATGGGTCTCACTCCCCTAGGAGTTATGAAAGTCCAAGTCCCCTTCTTTACATTTCACATAGATGCATTATATTCGGTTGGCATATGTATCATGTCCAGACTTTAAAAAAGCCATTGGGAGGTAAAGCCTAAACCCAACAGGAAAGCAGCCACTTTGAATTTAGTGTGCAATACTATGGTCATTTTTGCCACCCTCTGTACTGAAGACATGTACAGGCCCATTTTGAATCATAGCCATAGCGCCACCTACTGGTAACAGGAAGGAACAGTTGCTATACTTTGTCTTGCTACTCTGAGTAGATCAACCGAAAAGTTGCTCAGCAAATAATTTAGACCTTCATGATGCAAAACTGAAAAGTGACGGTGTTTTGATGGAGCGACGTTGTCGTGGGAAGGCATTAGTCACCATGAACAACACAGCAGTTTTTGAGAGGCTTGACACGCAGTAAAATAGTTGGTTCTTGTGCTTGGCTGTAAAAATGACAACATTTTAACGAAGCAGCCCTCGCAGTGCGTTTTACCGAGATGTACGGAATTTGGTAGGCTTATGTAGACTTAAAAAAGAGTCTCCAGTAAAGTCATTAATATCTATCACAGGTTACAGAGTCCTCATCTATAGCGACTGGGTACACGCAAAAGATGTGATCTATGACGACAAACTAGACAGAAAGATGTGTTGAAATTAAATGTGGGAGGCTCACACATTTAATTTCACACGTTACCTATAGACCTACTTTGTCGTAAACATTCAAACCAGCAGAGTTATTTGTGTTCGTGCTGTAGATATTCCTAAAGCACCTTTCAACTGTAAAAGCTATTAACCTAGATGCACTTTTTTCTCAGGACAGAGGACAGTGGGGTACAGGTTGAATAATAAAGGTGATAACACACACCCTATGCTTAGCTCTGTAAAGGCATTGGGGCCGCACACACACACATAGCATTTGGACCCATCAGGCCTGTTGAGGACATCCTGGAGCATGGACTCGTCCAGTCTTCCCTTCCTGCCGGTCCAGCTTTCACAGGGATCGGAGAGCACGTACTCCACCTGAAACCTGACACACACACACATTCTGAAGATGTACAAAGACACAAGGTCCCGGTGTAGCAGAAGAATTTGTAAAGCTGAAAGTCATCTGCATTTCACTGCCTTCGTACATATGTGGAGGTGTCAAGCCTAAAAGCACAGTGTGCATTCACACTCAATGTGTCCGTCCGTTTGTCACATTCTACCAAGTTTTTACTTCAAAACTTTTGAATCTTTTGATCTAAATACAACTGAAAGAAGACAGGCAGAGATCAAATCTTCTCTCTTCAATATTTTTCCCAACATAAACAGTTATAAAGGGATATTAAGAAATGACAGACACCAGGTAATAATCAACATGCTTAAAGGATGGACTGGTGACACCTCACCCTTTGTCTCTGCCTGTACCTTCCTTTTCTTTTCTACAACCTGCACTGCTCTATCCTCACAGCACTCCCTTACATACTCCACATCTTAGTTTGTCTAATTAAGAATAAATGAAGGCTGGCTTGTGACGGGGACAAACAGTATGAGGCTTTAAACACTCAGCTGTGATACCTCTCATGACTAGCAGCCAGTTCATCCAGCTCACAGCGCCACAGAATGTCCTCCTCTCGTCGGTTTAGGAAGAGCAGCTTGGTTTTCCTGCGGTACAATCAAAGACACAAACAGTAATACGGAGCACACTGTGCCCACAATGAATAGGAATCTTTTTTCCTAACAAAGAATATGTTCTTAATATCGGAAATACACTTTATTTATGTGTTGCAGTTACTGCTATTATTAAAAATCTTTATATTTCACTTTTTCCAAAAGGAAATTTGGAGAGACTCAGATTATTACTGTGGCTGTACAAAGGTTTTCTTCAGCTCTTTGGGCACATTTCTCTCCCTCTCTATGCATGTTTGTGACTTTGATGTAGAAGTGCCCAGGATGTTGTATTCAGACATTGGAGCAACAAGTTCAATTTCCATCAGATAAAGATGAATGGACTCATGTCTGAAAGGGACTTAAGCATGAAGTATAGTGAAAGAGAACTAGAAAACAATGACTACAGAAATACAAATCTGCTGATCTGAGTACTGTGATAGTCCCCACCTGATGGTGTCACCATCCTGTAGAGCCAGCTGGATGAGGCGAGCCATGGGCGTGAACCCTGTGCCTGCTGCTAACAGGTATAGGTATGTGACATCACGAAGGGGGCGGAGACTGAAGGTACCCTCTGGACCACTAACTGATACACAGTCACCTAGATAGTAACAATACATAATTGAACAAAATCATAGAATTAGTCAGTGAGTTCACTGAATGAATGAATACAAAAAGACAGCTTGAATTAAGATTGGTAAGAAAAACACTGCAACAATAAAAAAACAACACAGAATACATCTGGTAGTTGTAATGTTGGGATCATTAAACAGCAGACGAGCGACTGCATTGTCATCACAGCACACAGTAGTTATCTTCAGCTGCTCATCATATTGGACATTCAATGTTTCTTTAGTTTGTGTGTCATACAGCATTCCATTCTTCACTTCATCATCTCTGTCGCATTAATGAAACATCTTTTCTGAGACGTTAGTTTAACTGAACCCATATTACATAAGATTGATCTCATTACTTCACTTTGTATTTCTATAAAACACCACATTATTGTTCAGTTTCTGAGCTCGCTGATGTCAGACAGAGCTCTCTTTCAGGGTTCAGGTACCTTATACGAGAAAAGAAGTCATTTTTACCACAAATCAACAACGTGAGTGAGGGGGGAGATGCAAGAACAATGTATCTCCTGGAGGGTATACATAGTGGTACACTCTGGTGTTCACATGAAAAGTGACAGGAACAGTTGTGTAAAGAGAGCCGAGAGAGAAATGAAAACCCGTATCACCCCCACACAGCTGACCAGTGACAGTGTGAGGGGTTGTGAATGTCGGATCGTCAGTTGATGAAAGTTACACAAATAGATACACAGCTTCCCCTAATCCAAAAGTGGAAAGGTGAAGCTATCCGACAAGAAGCCTACTGGCAGCTTTACTCCCAGAATGCAGTTGGAGGGGTGTCTCACACACTGACTGCATAATGCTGCCTTACTAAATGAAACATACTAATTACACACAGATTGATGGGGACTGCTAACCTCTGACCCTCAGTCTCTCTCTTCCTTCTCACATGACACACTGTGACGCAGCACATTGACTTACCGACGTGCAGGCTGTTGAGATGAGGGGTGAACACTCCGTCGGGGTAGACCTTGATCATGAGGTAGAGGTCGGATTCCTGGGAGGCAGCTGCCAGGTTCTGATCTACTGCAGTGTATGGCCTCACTACCTCCGTGTCTGGATAGGGACAGACATCATGAAATAAAGCTTCTTAGAATCATATGAAGTGTCCACGCTGTTCCTTCAGAGCAGCTTCATCCCTCCTTTGTCAATCACTTAATGATGCTTTGAGTGTGTCTCAGTAGAGAGAGACTTCATGCATTTGTACTGATTTATTTAATGTCCATTTAGAGCAGGCCTGGGCATTGTACGGCCCCCTGGGCATTGTACGGCCCCCGAGCCATACCCGGCCCTTTGGCTCTCGCGGGCCGTCAATGGGAAATTAGGAATAAAACGCAAATAAGTGTACATCATGCACGGAATACAGCTGCATTGCTTTTATTTTGAAGGCGACTTTTTCCGTAGGTTAGTACTTGGTGAATGTGTGCGAGCAGCAGCGTCACTGCAATGTGTTGGTGAACTGAGCTTACTGGAGATGTGAGTTAGCTGTTAGCCCTCACAAATGTCAGCCTATGTTAAAAATGAAAGACTGATACAGAGTGTAGAGTTTTTAACAAAACATGGACTTCTAAGTATTTCTTTACTGAAGTCAAAGGTAAAGCCGTGTGCTTAGTTTGTGGAGAACAGATCGCAGTGTTTAAGGATTACAATTTGAATCTCCATTACGAGACGAAACACTCTGAGAAATACTAAAACTTGAGTGATGCAGAGCGGCACGGACATCCGCTTTGCTAGCTAAGCTGCTAAAGCAACATGCTCAGAAGATGTTGCTTCTCTTTGGATCCACCTACATATGTGAACAAACGTTCTCCGTGATGAAGTTTACCAATCCAGATCCAGATCCTCTCTCACTGACCATCAGCTGTCAGCTGTCCTTCACATCTCACCTCACACATTCAGCCTGACTTCAGTCACTCGTTCAAGCCCAACACACACTAGAGTTCTCCACCCAACGGAGAAACAGAAGAGGAGGTCATTGGACTACAACGAATAGTGATCAAAATACTCCTTTAGCAGAAACATGATCCCCGTCAGTGTTTTAATGAATAATAAAGTACAAAGTTGAATAAAATGGAAATACTCAAGTAAAGTACCTTGAATTTGTACATAAGTACAGTACGTAAGTACATATACTTAGTTACATTACACCAGGTATCATGATATTCACTCTTACCACTCACAGCTTATCAAAACCATACAATTTATTGCTTTTTATAAAGAGGTGGAGTAATATAGAGCAGTTGGTCTGGCCCTCCACAACAGTCCTTGTTGTTGGAATGCTGTTAAGCCAACTATTGTTATCCTATTCTTTATTGTTGGAATGCTGTTAAGCATTCCAACTATTGTCATCCTGTTTCTCTTTATTCAACTTCTTCAACTTCTCTCAACTATTTCTTCCGTACATTTTTTGCTACTTATCTCCTTCCACATTTTTTAAGCTACAGAAACCGTTCAAATATCAAAATGTTCAGCTCATTAAGGACACGTGTGCTATGACTTTTCATATTTCTAATCTTTAAACTTTTTGAATTATTAAGCTTTTTGCACATTTGTTTTTGAATGGGTTACTATGGATAAAATGTTCAAATCCTCTTCAACTTTCAAATCCTTCTACTTCCTCATACTTTCAGCTACAGACACCATTTAAACTTTAAAATGTTTAGAAAACCCTGATCTATTATTATTCAGCTTTTTGATATCTTCTATACTGTCCCATTTGAACTTTTATGACTTTTTCACTCCTTTTCTGACTTTATAATGGGTGTGTATTGCGCAGCTTAGAGTGCGTGATGTCACCGCTAGAGTGAAGAGCAGCTTGAGATTCTTGTGAAAAAAACATTTGTCTTTTGCCACTGAGTCCACAATTTTCACTCTTCATGCATAATTTCTGGATTTAAAAGTAGCTAATCTTGTCCTTGTCGTAGACAAATGACTGTGGAATCCCACAGATTTACACATTTGACACAGAAGCCTGTAATTGAGAGGAAAACCAACTTTCTGCTCCATAGAGACCAATGTTAAATTTTGCTTCAAAAACATCTTCCACAGAACACGGTACCCCATTTCTAGATCGCCAGTTCAGCCACATTTTTTACACTACAGACACAATTTTTACAGGATATGTTCTTCAACTCATCCTTCCTCTCATTTATTAATATCGGAGCAATAGGAGCTACGGTTATGGGAGTTTTGAGGATTTGTTTGAGAGGCGTTTCCCTGTTTTATCTTCATGAAAAGGCTGCAAGGACACAGGTGTTTCTGATTAAGCTAATTAGTGATGTTGATAAACACCCAGACTCACAGACACACACGCACTCCTCTCTCTCTCTGTGTCTCTCTCTGTGTCTCATACAGTCATTCAGGTCTTAGAGACTTTTAGAGGACCCCCCCCCC